GTGCAATATTATTTCCTGTATTAACTTCTATTGATTGGTTACAATCTTCTACAACACCTATCTGGGCTATTACATTTATTATTGGTAATCATCGTATGGTTGAAATCATCTATTCAATATGTACAGTATAACTTAATAACCCATTTATAACTGATTTTAATTGATTTTTATATATGAAACATAAAACTGGTTTTGAAAATATGGTTACATTCCCGATGGTTAGTGTTTAACGTTAATTTCAGCGAAATTTGTCCATAAAACCTGTAATGAAGTTAAAATTTTTATATTAATACCGGTAAACAAAAGTTACAATATATTTTATTAAGAGTTGGCTACTATATTAAGTCCAGATTTCGATATCCATCAATTAAATTCAATTTAGATTCAAATCTATAATTCTGAAACTAAAAAGAAGAAAAATAGAAATAATGTCTGTCATAGATGAATTCAATTCGTAAGTTAGATTGATGATTTTCTAATTGGCTGCTATTCGATTTTTTCAAATTAAAACATCTATTAATTTACATGAGACAAAATTGCACAATGTATAAATAAGAATTAAGTTTATACTTTAATCAAAAATCTCAAAATTAGTTAGAAATGACAAACGGTAGTTCATTCACTAAATCGGGACCAGTTGAACCAGGAACCAATAGAGTAAAGCTTGAAAGGCTTTTATTTCGCTCCATAAAAGTTTTTATACTAAAAGTTTCGATATTTAGCTTTATTAAAATCAACTCATTCATCACAATTTTTTTTTAAAAAAATCAAAAATTTTGAATTACATAATGAACAATATACAGTAGTACACTACAAATGGTGAGCGTTTGTAACATAATAAATAATTTAATAATCTAATCTACCTCTTTCAATAAAAATTTTTTTAGCTCTTGAATTACCTTTTCATTATCTTCTAATTTTTGAATTATCTTATTTAATTTATTTTCATTATCTGTTGATTTTTGAATCTTGTCTTCGATTTCTTTTAATTTTTGAAGTAAATCTTCTTTATCTTTTATCTTATCTTTCTTTATAATTTTTAGTAAAGAATTAGGAAGATATGGTATTTCACTCGAATCATCCCAATTATTATTTTGTATTTTAGTAACTATATCATAAAGTTTATCAAGACTAAATCTGTAAAATCTTTAAATATAAATTAATGTTAAATTATATAAATAAATCTTTTGCAATAAATAACACTAAATTAATCTTTACATGAGTTCAGGAAACCAATTATTTTTCTACGTTGATGTGGTAGCATATAAAATAATTCGATTTCTGATAAAATCTATTTAAAAAAATATAAAAATGATTATAATTTTAAAATTAAAATTATTAAGCTAATATTTTAATAAAACTATTATCACCTTTGCTCTTTGAAGCAAAAATAAGTCTTTTTTATTTGTTTCACCAATAAATTCGCTCAACAATCTGATAAATAAGTTCATCAAATAGATAGTTGTGAAAAAAGAAAAAGAACTATCAAAACTGTTAGTATCAAATTTTCAGTTAATGACCAATTAGATAAAGCAGATGAATCGCCTATAAATAGTTATATAATTAAAAATAAATATAATTGTTTCTCAAAAATTAATAATTACAAATAAATATAATTATTTGTCAAAGAAAGAATAATTAAAAAAATACCTGTTAACATCATATATATAGCCAAATATGATGTATCTAAATTTGTAAACATATTTGTATCTGAATTATTTAAATTATCTGTAGTTATTGGCCGTAATAAAATATGTAAAGAGTGCGCAAAAGCAAACATTATAAAACCAATTATTACAAAAAAGGATAAAGAATTTTGTATAACTCCAATAATTATTGCCCAATGTGTACCACCAAATTCAATAGCCCGAAAAAATGTTATAAATTTAAGTTCAAGTAGTAGTATAAAAAATGTAATAGCCCAGATAGGTGTTGTAGAAGATTGTAACCAATCAATAGAAGTTAATACAGGAAATAATATTGCAC